ACTGCATTCGGGTGCTCGTGGTGCCCGACGGCGAGACGCGCGTGCCACTCGAGCCGCAGGGCACTCTTGCCGCTGCGCCACTGCCTTCTCCTCTTGATGTCCACCAGCGTCCGCGCCGCTCGATTTTCATCGACGGATGGGCATGCGGGCCTGGCCTGGTACGGCGCCAGCTTGGGCACGGGAACGGCCTGCGCCGCACGTCGTAACTCCTTCGGCAGTTCGCCGCAGTGGGAAGCCCCCAGTGGCCCGTCGCCCGCCGCCGCCCTGAGCCGCTCGAGCGCTGCGTCGGCCCCGTCCCCGTGGCCCGGGCCGAGCCCGGGGGGGCCGAGGCGCTGGCGTCGCCGAGCTTGCGGCGACTGGCTCGCCCCTCTGGGTGGACTAGCAGCGACTTGTGAGCCGTCGCCCCCGCCGTCGGGGGGGTGGGCGCCGAGCCGCGGGCCCCCGGCGGCTGCCCCAGGCGCAAGTAGGTGGACAGCAAGATGAGCACTAGCAAAGCCACGCCGCGCCTGCCCACCGTCACCAGGGCGCTCATCAGCTTGAACCAGACTCCGAATACCTCGGGCTTCCGCGAGCGGCCAAAACACCGCTTGTGCCAGCCGCGGGGGGCCCGCCCGGCCCGCTGGCGCCGCGTCGAGCCCAGGCGGCTGAAGCTGGGGCACAGGCGATGCCAGCCGGCCAACGTCCTGGCCCTCCTCAGCGCTTCCTCACCGGCGAAGAAGATCATCTCGAAGTAGTCGGCGAAAAGGGCGCCCAGCGCGGAGTCCCTGATTCCGTCGACGCCCTTCCCCCGCGACATGGCGAGGTTCTTGAAGTGGATCACGTCCAGCTGGTACTCCGCGTGCGCGGGCCGCGTGGCCCCCCGCTTCTCCAGCAGGGCGAGGCCGCCCCGCTGCGCCACCACGGCCCTCTCGAGGTACTTGCGGAGGCGAGACTCGGGGCGGTCCAGCATGGCGCGTTGGCGACGGGCGCCCGCGACCTCGTTGGCGGATGTCGTGCCAGTGCTCGAGGAGGGCGACCTCTCCCGCCGGCGAAGACCGAGCGGCTTGCCGAAGGTGCCGCTCGCGGCCTCCGGGAGGGCCTCCGCCATCGCCTGCAGCGCATGCACCCTGGCCTGGGCGTGGGCCTCGGCCGACAGCGGACGACCCACGGTCGCCGCCCGTCGGCTCAGCGCCGGCCCGCGCCGCGCCAGCCCCGCAGCCTCGCGTGGGAGAGGAGGCGGACGCGGCGGCGCAGGCAGTCCGCGCGTCTTCCTGGCGCGGGGCAGCGACGCCGCCACGGGCGCCGAGCGCGCCCGAGAGAGCCCGCTCGGCTGAACATGCGGTCCGGCCGCTGGGAAACCTCGCCTCCGATGGGGCGCGGCGTCGCCGACCATGCTCTTGAGCCTGGGCAGCGGTCGACGGAGAAGAGCCCCGCGGGGCGCTGGCTGGGGGAGCTGCTGGGGCTGGCTCGGCTAGCTGATGAGGCGGATGATGTAGTTCATGAAATTTGAGCTTCGCTGGCTCGCTGAGTTCACTAACTAGATGACGTAATAATTGAGGCTCATGCTTACCGATGGTCTGGCTGCAAATACTAAAAGGAACTTGATGATGTTTCGGTGTCATGCCTGATGTCACGTACATGTAGGTGTGGAAGCTCGCGCGCTTGCTCGCTGATGACGTTGGCCTCCTGGGGCCCCTGGGGGACCTCCACGCACTGACGAAGAAGGTGAGGCGGAATGCACCAGGCTAGAGATCAGGAGGCGCTGTCATCAAATTTTCGGGATGCCCCGTCGGCGCTATTGAGCTCGCTCGGAATCCAAGGGACAGTGAAACGGATGCTACGAGCAAGGAGGTAGGCGTTGATTCGCCAGATTATGACCAGCATCGCATAGTCTTTTGAACGAGACCTGCAGATGGACAGTGCCACTCCCATGTCATCGCACAGGCGGGCGCGCCTGACGTCGTGGCCCCACCGCGTCTGGGCGAGGCGACGGACAGAGGCCAGCGCGGCACGGGCTTCCAAAATGGCGACGCCCTCGGGCCTGTCCCAGACGCCACTGCGGCAGGGGGCTCAGCGGGACTGCGCGGGCACCTCCTCGAAGCCCTCATCCAACGCCCGGGTGCCCTCCGGCGCGGCCTCGGGCGCGGCGAAGCGCCAAGGGCCAGCGCCCTCGTTGTCGTCGAAGCCGGCGAGGCGCACGGCGCGCCGACGGGGGCCCAGCTCGAGGTTCAGGCGGAAACGGGTACGCTCAGCAACGCGGCCGACCCGGGCAACGGCCTGAGCGTCGATCATCGTGGGCGTGGCGCCGAAGCCGCTCTTGGAGGCATCGCAGACCGTGACGTCGCGGTTCCAGGGGGGCACCCGGTCTGGGGAAGACCAGCAGCCCGCGGAAGCAGTTCAGCTCCTCGCGGACGGAGCCCCACACCCCCTGCCTGTCCCAATAGCTGGCCTGCACGAAGGCGTAGCTGGCCGAGAAGACGTTGAGAACCTCGCACCTCACGAGCCCTGCTTAGGCACAGTGGCCCAGCAGGCGCTCCAAGCCTTGCCCAGACATCGCCCCCCGCTGCAGCGCGTAGGCCAGGGCCCGCCCCAGGCGGGCGCGCCTCCTGCCAGTGATGGAGGCGCAGAGGAGCTCGCAGTCGATGCTGACGCCGAGCGCGGCCCCCGAATTCGACTCGAGGAGCTCCGCCTCATGGATGTCCAGCTTCAGCTCGTTGAAAGCCGCGACCTTCTCCTCCAGCGCATTCATCGCGGTGTGCGAGTCCTGGCCCATGATGCCAAGGTTGTCAACGTAGACGCAGCGCCAAGTGTCCTGCTCGCCGCCGCCCCCTAGCCTGAAGACCACTCGCTGCGGTCGGAGGCCAGTCGGGCCTCGCGCAGCAGGTTGCACTGCCCTGTCAAGTTGGTGTTCGAGTTCTGGCAAAAGTAGAGGGACCAAGAGAACCCCGTAGGCATGGAGCGGCAGCAAGGGAAGATCAGGTCGTCGCCGGCCGCGCATATGCCCTCGATCGCCTCGACGGCGCGCGGGCGCAGCTCGGACACGCTCGCGGCCGGGTAGCAGAACAGCGGGCTGAACCAGGGAGGCATCACCATCCTGTGGAAACAAGTCTCCGCGTCGCCCACTCCCAGGCAGACGCAGAGGACGCGCAAAATGCCCCAGCCCGAACTCTTCAGCAGGCAAGAGTCTCTGTCCACGGTCACCTCGACGCGCGACAGCCCCACCGCCGTGAGAAGGTCAACCCGGGTAGGCGGCACTGCTCGCTGGTTGGCTGGTCGCGCATCGGTTATCATCCCCATCTTCTGTCTTCCCTTCTTCCAGACGAAGAAGAACCCGACGAACTCGACGAACTCTGACGTCAATCGCAGCGTGCCAATCGACGAGCGCAGCCTTCCGATGAACCGAACGAACAGGCGCATGCTCCTGGTGAGCCCGGGGCCCAGGTGAGGCCGCGCTGGGTCGTCCCGTCGAAGGCGCGCAAACTCTGAAATACTTCGCAGCATCCGCTCTCCTCGACCCCCCAGAAAAGCCATACCCTCGGCGTCGAGAAGCTGCTCCAGACGAGGTGCGTCATGGGTGCTCTCGGGCAGAGAAACAAGTCCGAGCTGGAAGGGAGCGGTGTTCGGCTGGCCGGGCTCCTCGTATGCGCCGCGGCCTCGGAGCAGCTCTAGGTAGGCCGCTCTCGGCGAAGGCGCGTCCGGCACTGGCTCCTGGGCTCGCACCAGGCCATCAATGCGCGCGGTCACTTCGCTGTGGGTGCTGCCGTAGCCGCCGCTGCCGGCCGCTGGCGAACCCGTTGCCCTCGCCATCCAGTTCAGCGCGTCGATCGCCCTGTTCACCAGACGGACGCGAAGGGCGGGGCCTCGCAGCCCTCGGCTCAGGCGACCGCCTCCGCCAGGTGGCTGGGCTCCTCCAGCCGCGGCAATGGGGACAGGTGACGTTCGCCGCGAGATGCCGGGAGGCGCCCATGCCCGGGCTGTTCAAGCTGGCGGCCGCAGGGGGGCCCATTCCCCTCGGCGTGGTGGGGGTTCATTGCGCCCCGGCGGCCGCGGGGCTGCCGGCCCTGGGCTGCATCCCCCTGCCGCCCTCCCGACAGCCGTCGCGCCCACGTCCCCCGCGGCCGCGGCCGCGGCCAGCGCCGGCAGCGTCGCGCTCGTGCATCTCCTCGCCGCCATCAGTGACAGGAGCTGGCCCGCGCGCGCGCTGGGCCCCCACCTCCATGTCGCTCTCCTCCGTCGCCCGACACGCCTCGCACTGCCTTCGCTCTGGGGCGATCGCATCCACCACGCGGGGCATCGCCACCTGCCGCTTCAACGCGCGGCCTGGCAGCCCGCAGCCGCCCGCGGCGATCTGGAAGCGCCCGCCCAGCACCTCAGAGTTGGCCAGCGCGGGGGTGATCACCTGGTCACAGCTGGACGAACTGAACATCATATCGACCAAGCAGGTGAGGCCGCGCATCACGCAACCCGGAGATCCGATGTCGTGATTTGTTCAATGCGGGGTCCCTGGAAGTCTCGACCCAGTCCCCAAAACCGGTTTTTCATCCTGAGTCGTTTTTTCACGGTCCCAAGGCCCGGCGAGGGCCCCTAGAAGCCGTAATCAGCGAAAAACCTCCGTATTGTTTTTTCAATACGTTGGATATCTGGGAATAGCTCGCATCCACCTGTTTGTTCCTGGACCACAGCGGCAGCCACAGACGACGGTCGCCCCCGCTCCGCTCGATGTGCTCCACCACGTGCCAGCCGGCGGACGGCCCCCTCAGCGGCCGGCGCGGGTCGGGGACGAGCGAACCCTCCTGCACAGCCTTGCGGTATGTCTTGCACCCCCAGACATCGGGCGTCTCGCAAAAATCGAGGCGGAAGTTTTTCGCAATTTTCAGCCTCTCGGGGCCCTCGCCGGGCCTCGGGACCGTCAAAAAACGACTCGGGAGGAAAAACCGGCCCTGGGGAAGTGGTCGGGAAGTCGGGTGCCCGTGTCTCGAAAAAATCGAGACGTCGGATGTCTGGGCCGTTCGCCCTGCTCG